TGTGTTAAGTGCTAGGAATCAGAAGAAAAGGAAACAAACCTTCTACTTTCTTAGAACTTACATTTTGGTTTCATTACTCACCTTCATTGCTAAGCAAACCATTACTGGTTCACATGAATTGCCTCTCCTCTGGCAGTCATGTCTTCAAATCTAGGCTTTAGGCAGACTGCCTAAGCCCATTGTCATTTTTGGTTCTGATGCTTTCCATGTCATGTGACTAAAAACCCTTTATCAAATTGGAAAGTATTTCACAACCAAAAAGGTTTGAGTGGGGGGGGGAAACAAAGCAAGCATGGGATTTTTCTGTTCTTGACCTGATTTCACATATTCCTGACCCCTAAAGATAAGTCCTGAATTGATGAAATTTAGAGCTTAAGATTAATTTTTTTTTTTTTTTTTGAGTTGGAGTCTCACTCTGTTGCCCAGGCTGGAGTGCAGTGGCTGCTCCCGGCCACCGCAGCCTCGACCTGCTGGGCTCTGCCATTCCTTCCGCTTCAGTCCTCCAAGTAGCCGGAATTACAGGCATGCGCTACCACGCCCGGCTGATTTTTTGATTTATTGTAGAGATGAGGTCTCGCTGCCCAGGCGGGTCTCGAACCCGCGGGCTCAGGCAATCCACTCACCCCAGCCTCCCAAAGGCGCGGGATTACAGGCTGAGCCACCGAGCCCGGTTTACGTAAAGCATTCTAATGCAGTGCCTGGCCCAGTAACTGCTAGCTACTTTTATTATGCCTGTTACTTCAGTGAAGCTTTTCCTGTCTCCCTCCCCTAAATCCCGAATCAATCTCTTTCCATTATCTTTTCTTAGCCGTGCATTTCTACATTCTTGCTTACAGTTGCATATAGGCCTTTTTTTTTTTTTAACAGCCTTCTTCCTTTTTTTTTTTTTTTTTTTTTGAGTTGGAGTCTCACTCTGTCGCCCAGACTGGAGTGCAGTGGCTGCTCCCGGCCACCGCAGCCTCGACCTGCTGGGCTCCGGCGATCCTTCCGCCTCAGCCTTCCAAGTACCTGGAATTACAGGCAGGCGCTACCAGCCTGGCTAACTTTTTGATTTATGGTAGAGGTGAGGTCTCACCCAGTTGCCCAAGCGGGTCTCGAACCCGCGGGCTCAGGCAATCCACTCACCTCAGCCTCCCAGAGTGCTGGGATTACAGGCTGACCCACCGGGCCTGGCTCAGATACTCACTTTTAATGTTCTGAAATCCAAGCCTACAGCATCAGCAGTAAGCAATGCTTTTAATTGCCTCTGTACATCTTTAAGTTTGGTCATCATTGGGTTAAGAATCTTCTTTGTGATTCCTGAAAAGCTTTCAATAAAAAAAGGAGCAATGGACAGCCTGGGATATTAATAAGTTTTCCTCCCTAGGAAGTCAGTTCAAAAAGAATATTTTTAAAAATTATATTTAATATATGTTGTGCCCAAAAGTTGAAAATACAAATAAGAGGAAATTAAAAATTGGTCATAATCCTACCACCCAGAGATAATCACCTTTTACATTTTATTAAATATCCTTTCCTATTTCTGGTACATATATATTAATGTGTGTATTTCTTATAAAAATACAACCACAATACATGAGCTGCTTTATGACATGAGTCTGTCCAAGTTTTCACATCAATAAATCTATTTTAGGACATCCTTTAAATGGTTAGAGTACCCAGCATATAGATATAGCTAATTTTAAATAATACCCTACTTTCAGATATTTATATTCTCATATTTGGAATGTCAATACTGTGAAAAACAATACTTGTATACACATCTTTGCCACGTGATTATTCCCTAAGAATACTGTCTAATCATCAAGTCCGCTTAGCAGGACAGTCTTTATTACTATCAAAGCCTCTTGGTGCCTAAGTAAGCATGAATCCATAGGTGCAACTTCAGTAGATGGAAACAGTAATGTTTCACTAGTTTGTTCTTTGCCTAGTCACTGTATGTACATTCTGAAATTACATGCTAATCTTTGGAAAACCCGATTAACATTTTGAGCTTTAAATTTCTGTTATGGAAAAAAATTAGTTTTGTTTTGGTTTGGGGGGCAAGGCAGATTAAATTCTAGGATCATTTGACTACCAAATGATGATTTCAGATTTTCAGTTGAGGACTTATTAGAAAGCAAATCTCCAACTGCTTGGCAGTTGCAGATAATAATTACTATCTGCCTAGAACAAGAAAGACAATATTCTGCTGACTTATGGTCACAAGAAGATTACAGAACAAGAAGGGCAAGAGCTATATACTGACATTGTGCAATTTCAGTATTAAAATACACTGATGTGATGCCCCAGCTTCTGCTCTGATAATATTTAAGTAGATAAAACTTAACTAAAACAGAAGCTGAGGGCCATTCCTATTAAGCCTTATTCCATTCTAGTCTGACAGTGCTCAGAAGAGCTGAGGGCAAAGTGAAAAATACCTGGTGAGGTAGTCCAGAATCTTGTGGTCAGGTTTGACCAGTTGTTCATCCATAATACAGAAGCCTCCTTTAGCAACCAGTGAGATGCAGGTTAGTTCTCTTCCCTTGGATGTGAGACACTGAAGACCAAGATATAGCCATCTTGCTGAACTGTGGAGGCTATTGCTGCTTCTCACTATTCACAATGTCAACTGCCACCTACTCTAATCTACTGGGGCCTCTGCAGCAATAACACCAACTTTTGCTTACTAGAGGATTCAGCATAAATGAAATTAAAGCTAGGCAGGCTACTGAATGTTACTCTTATGGGAATTAACATATTGCAATTTCTCTGGGAAGGATGTGTTCAAGGAAGATGAATGCAAATAATATTAAACATAATTATATCTAACATTATGGAGTGTGCATTATTCTATTATCATCTAGTGCTATACTAAGCATTGTATATACACCACCTCATAATAACCTTTTGAGGTAGTCTTTATTATTATCCCTACTTCATAGAGGGAGAAGCTAAGGCTGAGAGAGGTTAGGGGGTTTGCAAAAGGTAATGTAGTACAGAAGGTCGAGGCTGCCATGATCTGTGACCATGCCACTGCACTCCAGCATGAGTGATAGAGCAAGACCCCAACTCAGGAAAAAAAAAAGAAAGAAGAAAAAGACATGAATAAACTTCTAGTAATGTACAAAGACCTGATTAAATATAGTAAGTAGTTAGAAAACGTATGTGATATCTGTTCATGTTGAAATACAGATTAGGCTGGGCACGGTGGCTCACGCCTATAATCCCAGCACTTTGGGAGGCCCCAGTGAGAGGATTGCCTAAGTCCCAGGTTCAAGACCAGCCTGGACAACTCAGCTAGACCTCATCTCTCCAATAAATCAAAAACTTAGCCAGGTGTGGTAGCTCACACCTGTAGTTCCAGCTACTTGTAATGCTAAGGCACAAGGATTGCCTGAGCCCAGCAGGTCGAGAGGTTGCAGTGGCTGTGAGCATGCTACTACACTCCAGCCTGGGTGACAGAGTGAGACTCCTACTCAAAAAAAA